TAGGCTATAAAGTCTAAAAAACATGAATGGAAGTCAATTGAAGGGTGTGTGTGTGTGTGTGTGTGTGTGTGTGTGTGTGTGTGTGTGTGTGTGTGTGAATGGGACTTCTTGAGCAGTTTTGTTTGGCCTCGTTTCCACGGAAACCATTAAAAAAAACCACTTTCCTGAAGAAAACAATTGTTAGCTTATGAATCTTTATGAATTTATTTTAGGCTAATCATGACGTTATATTTTACACAAATCACACTTTTATTCTAGTCAAACTTCAGTCCTGTGTTAGGATTTWATTTAGCATGTCTGTCCGACTTTTACTTTATGAGACCGGAAGTGCATGACATCTTTTATTCTGAAGACCGGAAGCAAATGGGATCTAGTTCGGTTTGACGGAGTGAAATCCGCTAGCAGCTCTAATTATTATTATTATTATTTTTTTTTTACAAATGAACTGAGACAAGCTGTGAGTCCCAGGTAACGTTTGTATTTTCCAGTTGCAGATGTTTCATATTTTTATTTATTCTCGACTATTTGTTTTTAGAAGAGTGCGATCGGCCCTTCTTGCATTTGTACTTTTCTCGAACAGTCAGTGGGATTTAAGAGGGGACTCCCTTTACTTTTCATTAATTACGTTATTTTATTGAAAGTAGCGAGTTAAACAGCTTACTTTGTTGTATTATCTGGTGTATCTGTTAAATATATGGGCTATCTGCAGCTAAACCCCGAGCCAGCAGCTTATGGACGTATGCTAGCTCGCTAACTCTTATAGAGGACACTTTATTTTAGCTTCTTCTGCTGTCAGGACTACAATTATTAGGTCCTTGTTGGTCTCTTCGGCTCTTATTTTATTAGGTGGACTTAAAAACAAACTAAATGTATCAAAATCCAACAAGCTGCGTACCTGTGATATGTTTAGTTGCAGATTAGTGGGATGCCCACAGGTGTTTACAATTATTGGAACTGTTAATTTTGAAGGTAAATTACAGATAAGGTGGAAACACCTGGACCATTTAATGCTCCTACTCTGAGGAGCTGTAGTCCTCCAGGGCCACTATCCTGCATGTTTTAGATGTTTATCTGCTTCATCACACCGGGTTTGAATAAATGAGTGATTTAACAGGTTTCTGCAGAAATTGAAGACCTGCTGAAGAGCAGAGAAGTAACTAAAACATGCAGTTTAGTGAGCCTCGAAGACCAGGATTGAGGACTAAAAGCTGCAGAGTTACTGACATATTCCAGTCATAAATAAACCTCCAGCTGTGAGAGTCACATTTTTTTATTTTGAAATAAATGACAGTGATGACTGGTTGTGTCATCACTGATGATGGAGGATGACTTCATGCATCTGAAAGTCTTAATCTACCAAACAAGGACCTCAGAATACATGTGGTGTTTCATTTTTTGTCACTTAATGACATAAAAGGTAAAACAATCATTCAGGTACTAATTACACACTGCTATGCAACAGTATTGTCCCAGTTCTTGTTTTTGTAGTTTCAAGACATTTGTATCTTTAGAAATGTTCGGTTCGACTCTTCACCTATGAATCATAAAAATGCTCCAGAACTTAAATTACGATTCAGTGCTGTCTATGTACAAAGCTTAAAAACAAAGAACAAATTTACACACATCACCGTGTTGTAAAATAGTATTTAAAACGTGTTGTATATGCAAAAAACAAAAACAAAAAAAGGTCAAAAATGTGCTTATTAGGAGGCATACTGTTCTTATTTTCTATTTTTTTAGTAATCTGGACCAGTGAATGTCAAAGGAAATTGTTGGAAACCTTACGTGTTATGAGCTGAACGGTATGAGAAAATAATTTTAAGATATGGGGACAAATTTAGTKACTCAGTTTCATTTTCTGAGTGCAGTTATCTCTTTGTTCTTTCATTTGTTTAACTCATTGTCAAGTAGCTTAGTTTAAAAAAGTAAATGAACCGAGTCACTTGCATGGAGGGTACGTGAAAGGARTTAAAAAGCGGCAGTACTAGTGCTCTTATAAAAAACACTGAAAGAATTTGTGATTCTCTATTTCAAGGGAATGCCTTAAAATAAAATAAAGAAAATAGTCTTTTTGGAAGCTGAGCGTATAAAGATTAGTGGCTCGAGTCTTTTCTGCCGAAATGTGAAGCGTTTGAAACGATGCGATCCAGTTTAATCTTGTTTTTAAACTCAAATTCATGAGGGTGTATTACAGGTTGTCCTTCAGCTGCCTTCTGACTGCTTAATAAGAAAAAGAAGGAACTGACAGATGGAGGATGTTTGCACTTCAAAACCCAAATTGATAAGTGAAGCCTCCATCTCCTGTTTGACTTTTAACAACTCTAAGAAACACAAGAAAAGCCTGCACTGTGACGACGAAGGGCTCCGTTGGATTTGTTCGAGACTTTGAGGGTCTTTAAGAAACGATGAAGCTTGCTTRTCAAAGTCTTTAAACATGCAAAGGGTTTTAAATTATGTTTTGGGTTTTAAAGGAAGGCACACTAAAACATTCTTAGCTCTGATGACATCTTTTTTTGAGTTTGTAAAAGATATGGGAACGTGTCACAACCTGTGTGATGGTTTGCACTTTAATTTAGGCCACGTTTTTACTGATGGCTAACAAATAGGGCTGCCACGATTAATCGATTAATCGACGACTAATCGATTATTAAAATGATCGACGACTAATTTAATAATCCATTAATCGTTTTCTTTTTTTAGTTCTTTACTTTGTTTTTCTCTCCAAACTGCTTTGACACCTTCCACTGCCACATCTGCCTTTCTGTCCTTGACACACATGCACAGTAGTGGTAACTGGGGTAGGCCATGGACGTCACAAGACATTATACAGACAGGCTCTGGTATCATGGCTACCTGACAACGGAGCTCAAAAGTGTGGGATCATTTTAAGAAAATGAAAGAGAAACCTGTGCAATGTTTGCAAGGCAGAACCTGCCTTCCACAGCAATTATTTTTAGTTAGCATAAAGCTAAAATCTAACGATGGTTATACAATAGCAGCTGCATTGTGGCACGATAAGCTGTATGTTTTATATTCAATTAACGTATGATCCGATTAGTCGACTAATCGAATAAATAATCGGTGATTAATCGATTATAAAAATAACCGTTTGTGGCAGCCCTACTAACAAATTAAAAAATTACTGCTCACTGAATAAATTATGTCTCTGCTTTGGTTTTGGGAGTCTTTATGCGTTTTTAACAGTATATTCCTGTAGTTGTCTGCATCCTGCTCTCTGAAAACATCATTTAACCCAGTTTAACTTGTGAGGAAAGTCAAAGATAAAAACATAGGAGAGAAAGTTGGAAGATTTATTCTCCTTGTGTTTGGATACGTTAGGAGCATCGACGCTCGCTGGTTTTTAGTGTGAAGGACAGTTCTCATCACTTCCACTGCTCAGCTGGCCTTTCGTGCCGTGTTTATTTGCACCGTCGCCCCTGCGGCCACGTTTTCCACGTCGCCGATCTTCTAGCTGGCTAATCAGATGAGTTGGCAGCAGGGGTCAGCGGTGCACATGTCTGGTCAGCGAGAGCGAAACTCCATCTGGGGAGATCAGAGGTGAGACCTCTGTGGCCTTAAAGTGTGCTGGCTGTAAATAGCTCCCGAAGCGCCGAGCCAAGGGATCAATGGGGTGTAAATGGAAGCGGTGGGTGTGTTATTATTAGAGACTGAGGGGAACTTTGGATGTTCTGTTCGTTTGCTCGACCCTGTTTGTTTCTTTTGATTGAAGTTGGGAGGTTTTCATGGAGATCATCAAAAAGGACGACGATGGAGAAGAATACAGTGAGTGTTGATGTGGGAGATTRACCGACTCCTACAGTCTGAGTGTGTGAGCTTTTAGTTCAGTTTCTGTAGAGTTTTCAGTTGTAGAAAAGCTGCGGCGTTGCTCAGAGCTGCTTTTATTGAGAGACCAGACCCACTTGTGTTCTCAGAATAGGATTTTTGTATCGTTTCAAGCTTCAGGCCCCGAGGGGGAGATGACGAAGGAGGACGTTTCAGAGCCGGTTGAAGGGGATGCCGTCCTGGGCTGCCTCTCAAGACTCCCACCCCACCAGAGGGTGGTCATCCACCAGGTGGCCTCTGCACCGATGCCAAATGACTGTGGTGAGGACCCACACGTGAAAATACTCAATTTAGCACTCACTCAATATGTAATATACAGTTTACCTATTAAAGAGCCTGTGACATCAATTTTTTTTGTGATAAATGTGATTGAACTTTTGGAAAGATAACATATCGCAAAAACAATTTCACACCACTGAGATGAACAGTTGAGATATTTGCCTGTGAAGTAACAGGAAGTGATGTCAAAGGGGAATGTCTGCATGTAAACAGCGTTGCTACAACAGCTACAACACAAACAGCAGGGCATTTTCTGATGTTTCTTTAGATAATTTAGACCCTATAAGAGAAAGAGATGAAAAAAGTCATTTTAAATAATATTGTTTTAATAAACCATAACCAGGGAGTTTTCTTTCTTAAAGAGTTCCCCTTTGATGTCACTTCCTGTTTCACTTTGCTGAGCCAAATTCAAAGGAAAACTTGCCAGTWATGTGACAAAATGGGTTAAATCATGTGTTTCATGCCAATTTTCCTAAACATGAAGATATTTTCTTTGACTTTTTGTATTTGAAGGATAGGCATGTCACCAGCACTTTAAAGATAAGATAAAACTTTATTGATCCCACAGTGGGGAAATTTGAACATTACCGCAGCTCAAACAGTGGAGTTGCAGTAACAGGCTGCCTACCATGGCACCATCAAAATTGGAAACAGAAAACCACACAAGGGAAGGGAAGATGAGGAAAAAAACAAAAACATCATATTATATCAACACTGTGACACACTATGGTGTTTATGAAAAAAAAAAACCTACTTATTTTTAAATGGGGTAGGGGAAGTTTCTCCAAATTATATGTGGATAAAGTCTAAGCTCAGTCGTCTGCACGGTCTCCTTTAAAAATAGCTTTTGTGTATCGCCAAACAAGAAACATGTTTAATTAATCGCCAAATGAACTGCTGAGCAGAAAGAGCTCCTCGGTGGAGTCCCCGGACGTGTAATGCAATCAGYACAGCAAACGCAGCGAGTTAAATTATACAGCGAGTGTTAGCTGTGGTCCTTCAGCGAATGCAATTTGTTTTTCAGCCTCAGTGGGATTCTGTAATTCTTTATTTGGTCCTTGGCACGCCTTCTTCTGCCGTCTACTGTCACGTCTGGTTTTATCTGCTGCTTCAGGACAGCAGGAGGCTTTTTTTTGTCCCCTCAAGTTACCCATTTTAACAAACCATTTCACAGTCTGTTGCAGAAGAGTCCTCACTGCAGACTCTCTCTGGAAGAAAATGCCTCACACTTGTTGTAAAAATATTGATTTTTTTTTTCTTATCCCTGTTGCCGCCTCCAGAGTTCTCCTTCTTTGACCCCAGTGAGCTGCAGTGCAAGGGGATTCTTCAGGATCCCAACACCACCATCCCTGAGCTGTTTGCGGTCCTCAGGCAGTGGGTGCCTCAGGTCCAGAAGAATATAGACATCATCGGCATTGAGGTGTTGTAGCATGAAATGACTGTAATACCTSACAATTAAAGTCACATTTTTGCTTGTTAATGAATTTCTTTCCAAACCACAAACAAACCTTTTCCATCAGGAGTCACACAAAGTACCTGCAATGCAGTAAAMTCTGTAAAGAAACAGTCCTCAAGGGTTTAAGAAGGCAATTATTTCCCTTCCTGCATCTTTATTTTAACCTTTCAGAAACAAACACCTTGTTTGCTGTCCGTTCATTGTCTAAATGTAGAGTTATGAGAAGACGGGCACACTTCATTGTTCACTCCAGCGTCTCTGAGTTTCACTTTATAGCCTGTTGTAATATTTCCACGCAGTGACACCTGGTCCTCTGTGGCTCATTACAGCTTCTTGTCTTTGCACAGATCCTGAAGAGAGGCTGCGGCGTGAATGACCGAGACGGTCTGACTGATATGACCCTACTGCACTACTGCTGCAAGGCCGGGGCCCCAGGYATCGGTTAGTATCGACTCGGCTTCTTGATAAAAAGTCCACACGCGTCTAATCCGACACCGGAGTGCGGCGCAACTCGCTAAATGGTCCGGTTCATGGACGAATCGAACGCGACTCAACAGCCTTCGTTTCTGCACAGGTGATGCGGAGACGGCAGCTAGCTTCGCCCGGCAGCTCCTCGCCCTGGGTGCCGATCCCAGCCTTTGCTCGCGCTGGACCAACATGCGGGCCCTGCATTACGCCGCCTACTTTGATGTGCCCCAGCTGATCCGGGTGGTCCTGCAGGCCTCCCAGGGTGGAGGTGAGAACATCAAGGAGCCTCAGCAGTTTATTTTCTTGTGGTGTTTTAGGTGCGTTCATTGTTTTCAGTAGAGCAAGCAGTTGGTGGTGCTGTTGTATCAACCAGTAAATGTTATTATTTTTTTGTTTCCGTTGATGTAGTTTGGTGAACATACTGGGAACTCATTTTAAAGCAAAATGACTTTAAAGTGTTGGTAGGCTTGAACGCTGATGGACTTCATTGCCATTTGATGAAATGTTTTTGGATCATCACCTGTTTCACATAAAATACAGCATCCAATATCCCCTCCCAAAAAAAATCACAACTCAGCACTCAGCCTCATGATGGAGCTGGAAGAAACACGTGGCAGTTTGTCTTAAAAGCACGTCTCAGCAAATAAATATTTCCTTRTGAAACTGAAAATTGGTCACACTTTAGGGGTGCTTTTTAAAGCACGTTTAGTTTATTTTTGATTAGTTTTCCTGATTCATTTGTTTTGATGGAACTTATAGAGATATATAAGTGCATATAGACTTTGCAGATAATCTTGGTAGGGAAAAATAAAAATGAAATTAAAAACTCAAAGCACTACTAATCTTCTCCTTAAAGGGGAGGTATTATGTATTTTCCAGGCACATAGTTCAATTCTATACCACAGTCAAGTAACTATGTTAGYTGTTCTGAAAATGTTGTATATATTAAAAATAAATTTGACTTGGCATCACATATAAACACCTTGAAATTGGCCTCTGTTGCTTTAAGCACCTCCTACCGTTTCCTACATTCCTACTTCAGCACATCATCACAACAATGCTACGTGTTGTTTACAACCTTTCGTAGGAGCGTTGCAATTTGTTGTAAACAAAGAAGCAACATTAGATATTGGTTTTGTGAAATGGCAGCTCAGGATACAGTTGAACCTTACTGGAATAAACCCATGTCGGACCCTGAAAGTACGTTTTCTGTAGAACCGGAGCGAGTACAGAGGCTCTTACAAAAYGTTTCAGCTTTGTAATATATCTCGCAGTCATCCTCTCAAACATATACGTCAGTGCTGAGCTACGTTTTGTGAAAACATATAGATGATTATAAAGCTAGGTTTTGCAATGAAATCATAGTGATTGTTAAATAAATACTTCTGCTGCTGCTAGCTGCTGTGTGGGGCAGGCACAAGGGAGGGGTGTGCTGTGGGGTGGGTGGGGCTTTGTGTAAAAAGGCGGTGCTTTGTACCAGCAAGTGTTCAGGCAGCGCTGAGTGGCTACCTCAGGAAATTCAAGGATTTCTCAAACATGCACAAACGAGTCAAAGCAACACTCTGGATATGTTTTTGATGAGGGAATGACATAACATGATATAAAGCTCAAAACAGTTGATTTTGCATACTGCCCCACCCCCCCTTAATTAGTTCACTGATAATGGAACAATATTTGAACTGAAGATCTTTGTGTCAGAACAGGAAGTCAAATGGATCAAAGCAATGAGCTTTTAAATACAAAACTTTACCAAAACTGTATATTTCTCTTCATTTTCAGAGGTCGATGCCACCTGCAGTGACTTTGACTTCGGCACATCTCTGCACATCGCTGCTTCTAACCTGTGCACCTCAGCCGTCAAGTGTCTCCTGGAGCTGGGAGCAAATCCAGCGTTCAGAGTAAGTTTTTATTTTTTTCCCTTCTCCTCCYTGTACTCTTCATCAGACTTGTCTTCTGAGTTGGAGAAATAGATTTTTTTCATCATCTTGACAACAATCTGCAGGATAATTCAGATTTCAGCAGGAAAATCAATGATTTTTTTTAGTTCTTCGTGATTCASTTGCATCAGATGATTACAATAAAAAGGCAAACATTAAACACACACAACACATTTTAGCTAAAAATGTTAAAGTATAGTGTGCGTAATGATATTCAAATGGTGCATGTTAAAGTTTAGAGACACCCACTCAACGTATGTAAGAAAACGTAATGCTTTACAATCAGATAGAGGAGGAAAGCAGAGCAACTTGCAGCTCTTTTCAGATATAAACAACATATTTGAGTTCAGGTGAAATTGTGTTTCTGCTCTAAATGTTTCACACTGAAACTTTAGGAAATAATTGCCTCCCACGCAGCTTCACACTGGGTGAAAACAGTGGCTGCATCAGACTTTGTTTTGAAGAAAGGTAGAGGTTTGAAAGTTTTCTCCGGTTGTGAGTTCAGCTCTGCTCCTCCGTCTGCGTCGTCTTAGCAGGGAAGCTCAGGTTTCATTTACGACCGCAGCKCCTCTCTTATCCTTTCTTCTGGCTCACCTGAGCGCCGGCTGAAAAGTAATTGAGTCATCTGTGTTATTTATTCCACTCACCTCTCTCCTTCGACAACGGGACGAGAACAGAGGTGTAATCGTGTGTGCTCGGGTGCAGCCTGTGTTTTTGTAAGGGGTGGGAAGGTTGTGCAAACGGAGCGCTGCAGTTCTGGTTGTGTACTTTTCTTCTGCTGCTCTAATTCTCAGCAGACAGACTTTTTATTTATATTTTTTATACTTGTAGTACTGTGACTTTTCGAATAAATACGTTTAGGATTGATTAACAAACTGGATTTATTTACAGTGAATGAGTACCGAACCTACTTCCGTAAATGACTCGAGTCATCTGGACCCTCGGCTGAAATATCGCTGAAAAGAGTTGCATCAGAATAATTGCAGTACAATAAAGTTTATGAATCTTTTGTAAGGAGCATTTTGTGAAATTAGACYTCTGAGTTATGAGTTTATGGAGCTGCTGCTCTGTCTTTAGCCTCATTTAACTTCTCCAAAAGGCTCAGATGAAAGAGATTTAATCAGATATCGACTTGGTTGGTTAAAAGAAAAACACGTTTTGTATTTTTAACTGCAGATAAAAGTGCTTTTCTGAGAAACAGATGGAAAATAAACTCTTGTGGTTGAAATCTAGCTTCCTTTCTGCCCGTTACCTGACAGATATGTCACTGAAAATATAAACAAACAAACAAACAAAAAGCTGTCACTTTAGTAATAAAATCAAAATGTAACCATCTTTAGTTCTCAGTTAATCTGGTGCTTGTAAATCTTTTTTTAAAGTTCTGCTAAATAGGAATGTGGCCGTTAGAGTAGTTTATCATATATTTTGAATTTGTATATTTTTGTATAAATTAGAGCTTGTTTATTTTATTGTTGTTTATCTGTGTACACTAATATCCCACTGGAGGTCACCAAAGCACTATGCACAGTAATGTATGATTTCTTTGATGAATCCAGGAGCTTCTTTCTGTATTTTTAGTTTAGTTTGAGGATGCAGAGCACTTGATTTAAACCTTATTTTTAAGTTTGTGTAAAAGTTGAACGTCACAGAGGGAGGATTATTTTACATTTGCTGTGATTCATGAAATTGTTGGCGTTTGTCTGGAGCGTAAAGAACAATCTTTAGGTAAACGGTGGAGTTTTCACATATTTAAACCTCTGCTGCAGCTGAAACGAACTTCTCTACTTTGGCTTTCTCTTCATGTTTATCCTCAATATTTTCATCTCAGACGGCGTTCCTTCTATTTTAGTTTTGAAAACATCTACTATTAATAAGAATCGAACACATCGAGCCCAGAAAACAGGATCTTGTGCCGAACTCTTTCATTTTTGAACAACGTTGATGGTGGTTAACGCCGGAGCAGAGAGGTTTTTTTACTTTTTTGAGGATCATCATTAAAATCACTTATTTATTTTTCTGCTCAGGCTTTGCATGGATTCATCTGAGCAGACCTTGAATTAAAGCTTTGTGTAGATTTTTATTTTATTTTTTTATTTTGTTTTGTTTCCAGATGTCTATTATTTGCAGGACAGAAGTGAATCGACGTGAGAGCATTTCAAAAGCAGCAGCTCTTTGGAGGATAAATAAGATGTTAGAAATTATAGCAAGAAGTGAATCCGTATCAGTCAGGAAACGTTTAACACAAGTTGTTTTGTTTTTTGTGTTTGGAAAAAATTGTATACTTTTATCAAGCCTTGAAAATGGTTATTAATTTTATTTTCATTTGCTTTTTACATGTGTACTTCACAGCTTGAAACAAAACTAAATTAATAAAAAGAAACTTAAAGTGCCACAAATTGTTGGAAAGTATTGTTTAAAGCTTCTGTCATTTGAGCAACTTTAATGCTGGCAGAAAAGAGTAAAACCCTTTATTTAAAAAAAAAAAACTTGTTCACGATTTTCTACAAATTCCATTTTTCCGACGTTCACTTTTTGTATAAATTATAGTTAATAAAGTTGAAGAAATACTTTTGAGCGAAGCAGCCTCTTGACTTTAAATAACTCTTCAGGGTACTGAACATTATAATTTAACTGTTTTACGCGCAGCAGGACGGGCGTGTGGGTGAGAAAGCTGTCAGATTGGGAGTGTGGGACAAGAACGTCTCACTGCGAGGTCTCGGTTCGGATCAAAGCGAGGTTTTAACTGAAACACGTCGGGACACGCAGAGATACGGCTTACACCCATTTATAAAAACTCTCGCATAGTATCTGTGAAGAATGTGGGAAATTACTGATTTTAGTCCTGGTTTCACCCGTGTGCAGACATTAGCTTGTTTTTTTTCTTTGATGTTCATCATAAACCACTTGTGTCGGTTGATCCCGGTGTCAGAATCCAACCAGTACAACCTAAGATAAGCTCCTCTCGCCTGTCCCACCTTCACATCCACCTCCTCCCTTTGCGTTTTCTCTCCTGAAACTTTCTAATTCTGAGCTCTGTTCTTAGACTTGGTGCCTTTGAGTCATTTGGGATTATGTTGTTGTGATCCTGCTGATCAGCTTCTTTAAAGGTCTGACGGGGATTTTGCTCTGGGTGCAGAAATATAATTAAAGAATCTGCTCATCCCAGCATTTTTAGACAAGAAAAAGAGAGCTCTTTTGGAGAGAGGTGCACACGTTAAAAAATAATAAATTTCTTGATGCACTGATGACACCGAAAATGAACCTGTTGCTGTTCTGAATTACCTAAACAGAGAATAAGCAGTTTTTTTTCTTTTTGACAGTCTCACCATGACTTGCTTCAACTTTACTGGGGTCTATGTGTTCTCGGTGGTTTTTGATTTAACTTGAGTTTGATGTGGGTGGATCTTCATAACATAGCCACTCAAAGCTTCAACGTTATTTTCTGTCTGAGGCACAACATATAATACGTAAGTGAAGTAAAGTTACAAAACACTCGCCACATTCTGCCACGAAATCCAAAATGCTGCAGCCGAGTCCACCTTCCCTCGAGTCCATTTGGTTCAGCTCCTTTTGAATTCAGCTGCCATTTGACCTCGTGTTGGTTTATGTGTGGCCATTTTATTGGATATTTAGTATCTTACAAAAATAAAACATAAAACGAATGTTGCGGTTGCGAGACTCTAACCAATCAAGCTCTGCTAAAGTCAAATCTTATGCTAGACTCAACTTACCTTTGGATGGTTGATTATTAGAAGTGTTAATCACGCTAGGTTGCTTTTTATATACTTATCACTAAAAGTAAAAATTTATGTTTGGTATAGGGTTGGGCAAAATCATATGTGTGCAAATAATTGTCAAGAAAAACTAATCGATAATGTTTTGGCACTTGATAATTAATACGATTAATGCCACCAGGCAGACTGGAGACTTCCCCGGTCAGTCCGCTTGGTGCTCCTGTCTAATTCAGATATGACGAACATTTTTAAAAAAATGTTCTGTAATTTTTTTTTATCATAACTCCGGTTTTACTTGGTCTATCAACACATTATAAAAATTGATGTATAGTCTGAAGTCTGCACTTTTGGCACAAGTTGGAACAGATGTTTGAAGAGGCAAATCTTTCCCACTAGAGTGATTTAAATTGGTCATATGACTAGGGTATGAGGGCGTCCAGGGACTCCAGGTGATTAATCGTCATTTTAATTGTTATCGGCYAAATACCACAATTAATCATGATTAATTAATTTTTTTGCCAATATTGCCCAACCCTAAGTTTGGTCGATGATTTCTTTGTCATAACAAGRCTTCTTGGCTATAAACCTCATACCAGGAACTGATCAGCAGCACCTGGATGTACTAAAAGCTCAAAACAAGTGTCAAAAGCAGCAAAATCTGCTGTTTGGCAATGATTTGATTTGACAATTTTTTTGTGTGAACAGCCCACATGCTCAGCTCTACTGCTCATCCAGTGAATGCCTGTTCCTTGCAAATGTGTCCCCATTTAAAAGGGAAATTAACAGTCTTTCCAGCAGCATAAACAGTGGTGGGGCAACACTAATCTGGAAATCAGTTGCACTAACCCTAAAGCACTAACTCAAATATTTAGGTCCCCTAATTCTAAAGCACTAACACACTGAAAAAATGAGCAAAAGCTAATTCTAAAAATGCTAATCTAACCCAGCTGACATGTGGAACATTCTTCAGAGTCAACATGAGGCAACATTTACTAGTAGTAGTTTACTAGTACCTGGTGGATAAGTGACACATATAAACAAAATATGACAGCTTTCACCCTCAGCTGTTAATGTTGATCCATAACATATAAAGACCTCAGTTAGTACTTCTAAATTTAGCAAGTGCTAATTCATTAATGAATTAAAAAAATAGCTAAAGCACTAATCAGGAAATTAGTTCCTCTATTAGTACTTTAGTGCAGTGGTTCCCAAACTTTTCAGCTTTTGCCCCAAAAAATCCCAGCAGCAGAGACCTGTGCTAACAAGCTGTTGTCAGTTAATGAACATTGTTTTCACGTCAAATAAACAAGAGCATAGTAACATTATTTATTACACTATTTTTGTCCATTTTAAGTACACAGTTTAGATTTTGTAACAACAAAGGAAAAAAATGGAAGTTGTCATTTTTTAGTGTAATTAATTAAGAAAAACTCTTTACGACCCCACCTTGATGTTCCAGGACCCCACTGTGGGTCCCGACCCCAACTTTGGGGACCACTGCTTTAGTGCTTTAGGGGAACTGCACCCACCACTGGTTTTAGATTTGTCAAGATTGGTCAATATGGCCGTGGAGGAGTGGTTAGGGGAGTCGTCCTGGAACCGGAAGGTCACTGGTTCAATAGTTCAGATCATGCTCTCCCTGACATAATCCAGTTTGATGATGTCATCAATTGCGCACCGGTGAACGTCTCTGGACCACAAGCATTTAACACATTTTGGTCAAATCCAGGTGTTAATTTTTCGAGCGTTTATCAGAAGAAAAACCGATACCGATATGTAGAGATTTTAAATTTTTTATGCTAATATTGGACCGATAATATCTGTAGGCCGGTATTATCGAACATCCCTACCATTTACCATTGTTACAACAAAGCAATAATCTGCCCAAAACAAATTTCCTGACTTTTTGTTTTAACTGTAGTTTGGGCTTTTGATTGAGATATAAGCAAAAGTTTTGTACTTTTTTGTATTTGCAGTATGTATGTTAATTTAATGGTAAAAGGAAAGTTATTGCTGAGGTAAGGACAGTGTTTCTAATGTCTGTTTGGTTCGCAGAAAACACAAAACAATGCTACGAGAAATACGTGTGCTGGTTGAAGTGCGGTGTTTGATCCTGACCTGATCTCGTTCTCCTGACAGAACGACAAAGGGCAGAGTCCAGCTGACGTCGTCCCCGACCCCCTCGATATGCCTTTGGAGATGGCGGACGCAGCCGCCGTGGCCAAAGAGCTGCGGAGCTTACTGAGGCGGGCTTTACCCAGGCCCAGCTCGCCGCTGCCCCTCACGCTGCAAGGCCAGTGCATCCCCGCGCTCTCTGACAGGGCGAGGATCCAGCTCGCCTCCATGGGGATTCGACTGGGCGATCGAGTGGTTATTGCCAGACAGAAGGTGAGCGTCATGTTGCTGTCAAAGTGAAGGAGGTAATCATCTTTTTAAAATATTTTTTGAACAGGTGCAACAGTTATAGTCTGTTTTTTATTTGTTAGTGTCACATTGGCACAGTAGCTGAAATTTTAGGAGAAAAAGAGTTCACTACACGTCCTTATATAGATTTCGCAGGTGGCGTTTAATTTAAGTTACAGCTGTGAGTGAAAAGCTCAGATGTTAAAAACACCAGCTTGCTTATCATCTTCTCCTGAGTCATCATCGTCGTCTCTTACACTCGTCTCTGATCTCATGTCGCGTACGGTCGACTGTGTCAACCAAACCGCTGCTCGTACTTATCACTTGAGCTCATTACTCATGTTTTGGTGGCACATGTTACGTTATCATCGCATACCAGCCGTCCAAAAGCAAAGGATGTCTTGACAAGTCGGTGTAAATGAAGCACATTTCTTTTTAAGAATTTCCTGCTAACAAATCATTTTTACTGCCTTATAAAGTGTTTAATTTTGATGCATCTAACAAATCTTTTGGTGTTGATTTGTGTTAAAACATGTCGTTGCGTACCATCTAGGTTCAGCTTTATGATTTAAATCATATAGTCATTTTGACACCCATTTTTTTTACTTAACATGAAAATAGTTTCTTATACYGTATCAATGGTAAACTTTAAATTTGTGATTAAATGCAACAAAATAAATTTCAAAGGTGAAAGAAAACAATTGTCCTGCCCCTGAGCTGTAACTGAGCAATTTGATGACGATGATAAACTTTATTCATTTCATAAAACATAAAAAAAGCAATTTCTATGTACAATAAAAAGAAACACAAATAAAATGAAATGAAAGGTGGCAGAGAGAAGAAAATAATCTTATAATATCTGCCCCTTTTTTACAAATACAAATTCAAACTATAACGATTTCTCAGTTACTAACATAACAAAACAAAACATTGAAACTTTTTAGAAAAACCAAGTGAATGTCTGCATATTAAACCATCTCATATTTTTTAACAGTCCAGTCTTTGTCATTCTCTTAAACATGCATATTGTGGCATTTTTTAATATCGTTTTCCAAATCGTTCAACAGTCTCACTCCTTGAGTTGAGGTGCATCGTTCTTTCAAGCATGCTCTAATTTTAGGTTTCATGAACATCTCTTTTCCGTTAAGTTTATAACAGCTTTTTCTCTTTGTAAAATTTATTTGAACTTTTAAAAGTAAAACATTTTGGTGTGCTTTATACATAACTAACAAAATATTATAATCAATCAAATCATAGAACTTCATCAACTTCAGTTTACAAAATAATATATTAGAGGGATAAAGATAATTTTTTCGAGTGATGACTCTTATAGCCCTTTTTTGCAAAATAAAAACAGGATTTGTAATAGTCTTACATGCCTTTCCCCATTCCCAATTTATTTGGATAGCTCAGTATTAATGTCTCAAAATAAGCCGCTTTAAAGTCAGCATCAACCCTTAATTAAATCTGTCATAATGCATACTAGCTACTCACTAGAAACTCATCAGTGAGTAAAACTTTACTAGTTTTACTTTTAATAATATTTCTGTATTTATTTCAGATTTAGTCAGTCTGATAAATGTTTAAAAGAGGACATGTTAAAACATTGTTTAGTCAAAGTTAAACATCAGAGTTCATTACAACCACCATAACGCTCATGTGGCCCTCAGTGAAAATGAGTTTGACACCCCTGCTATAGGGTGAAAATAAATTCCAGATTCATTGGACAAAGTGTGTTATTTTTTATAATGTTTTTTTTAGTGTTTGCCGTGGTACTGCATGTCTGTCATAAACATGCTAATGGACTTTGGCTGTTCTTTTGTTGTGAAAAAGGACTAAAAGAAAATCACCAGCCTCCTTCATTAGCAGCATCTGTCCTCATGTAAGAAGAGCAATTAAAATCCTCCAGTTTCCACTCGGCTAGACRTTTGCTCTGAAAGAAATCGTCTCTAATAATTCTGTGCCCGGTCATCAAGACTTCTCTAATTATAATTCTTAACACCTCTTTCTCCTTTTCATGCTTCACACTGTATTTATGTTTTTTTTAAACTCTCCCTCGCCGCTGCTAAAATGATTCGTTTCTGATTGCTCTGTTTTTAAATTGGTGACCCGTTATTCCTTTGCATGAATGTTTTTCCACCACGTTGTGTGTGTGTGTGGGCTTTCGCCTGAAAGTGTGTGTGTGTGTGTGCTTGCAGGTTGGAACGCTGCGATTCTGCGGCAGCACCGAGTTCTCCGGAGGCCTCTGGGCCGGAGTGGAACTGGACAAACCAGAGGGCAAGAACGACGGTTCTGTAGCAGGGGTTCAATATTTCGTCTGTCGGGTCAAACACGGTAAGCTGTYGTGTTAGGAGCTTTAAAATCCAACATACTGACTCAGAAACTGATTTTTATTTTTTTCATTATTTCTAGGAATTTTTGCTCCTTTGTCCAAAATAAGTAAGCCTTTAGAAAAACACAAATCAAGCACCCCAAGAACATCTACACCTCTGCGCCCCCCTCGTCGTGTTGATCTCACCAGAGTTACCTCAAAGATTAACACAGGTAAGGAAATGTTACCGTTTTATCAGAAAATGCAGGATTTTTTTTCTAAAAATTCAAAGAAATTATATAAACGTAAACAATAAATGACATCTTTGAAGAATTGCGACGTTTTGTTGAAGTTTACAGTTATGATGAACTTCTGCTCCGGCTCTGCCAGGATAACTGAATGCTACAAAAAGATTAATGCTCACAAGCTTTTATAATATTAATAAAAAAGTTTTCCCCCGAGGAGCTCAGCCACTGTGTACAGTCATAAAAACACGCCATAACCTCAACCACAAAAGACGAGGAAACCAATGTGCCCGGAGGAATAAAGAATTATATATTTTTTCAGTGTAGATGGAGTTAAAAAAAAACACGGGGCAAGTGCTTTTTTATGTCACAGGCGTCTGTTTGGGTTCCCAAGAGAAGACATGAATATGATGGTAGACCACACAGACTGTTTCAGAATAATGGCAGAATTCTCATAAATAACTTCCTAACAATAAAATCTGCTCCCTGAAGGGKTTTAAGTTGGAAACTTATTTTCATTTGAGACAAACTTGTGAATAGTTTATTCTTATCAAAAGGTGTTTAATGTTTTGGATTTCTTTATAAATACAATAAGGTCATTTGTAACATGAAAACTGTAGGGCTGTGTATTGGCAAGAATTTCGTGATATGATACACGGGATCACAGTACGATAAATTGCGATACTGTAAGCAAGGCGATATATATTGCCATATTTTCTCCAAATGATTCTAATTTAAAAAAACTGTAAAGAGCACACCATGCAATAAATACTGATCAGAGTTGTAAAGTAACTAAGTACAAATACTTTGCTACTCTACTTAAGCAGAAATTTTGTTTATCTGTACTTTAATTGAATAATTATTTTTCAGCCTACTTTTTACTTTTACTCCTTACGTTTTTACACAGTTATCTGTACTTTCTACTCCTTAAATTTTTTAAAAAGGTAAGAAGTATTAAGTCATTTCTCCTATTTTGTTTCGGTTTGTTAGTGTTAAAACATACTATCCTAAAAAAATTGTGCATCTAGGATAGAGTGAATTTAATTGTAGTTGGATGAGAAGTACAGTATACCATTCTGATACTGTGTTAATTTTTACAAAATCCATCACAGCTGCATGTTTTTAGAAAAAATATTTTTTTAGGGAGGTCACCTCCCAATAAATGTATTTTGGAAACTCTAATCGCTCATTTTTACTAAATACTTTTACTTTTAAAACTTAAGTATTAAAAGTAGTATTTTATGTCTTTTGATACTTAAGTACAAAAAAAATCTGATACTTTAAGACTTTTACTCAAGTAATATTCTTAGAGGAGACTTTAATGTCTACCAAAGTAATTTTATGATAAGATACTTGTACTTTTACTGAAGTATCACTTTGAGGTACTTTTATACAACACTGATACTGATTAAATTCAGTTTATTTTAATCAGGAGAACACTAAACAACAGTGAGGACTGCATTTGTATTTCACATTTCTTCTTACATCCATCAATTGAGCCTTAATTGAAAATTGATACAATATCAGGAAATAAAATATTGCGATATTTCAGTGTRTCAATATTTTCTTACGCTTCTTGTAATTTGCGAACATTTAGTGAAATCTTAATAGTAAATACGAGGGTCGCCTCCTGAATTGTCGTGACTGAATTCTGATATGRTGGGATTTTTTTACTTCCTGTCTGGGAACTCTGGATCTCTCCACAAAGTCATTGCATTAAAATACTGTATGAAAATCTGCTTTTTAAAACTCTTTACAAAACCGTTTTGTTTTTTTTCTTTCTTTTATGAACCACGTTGGCGCGCCACAGGATTTAATGCATTTYAGTTTTAATATTAATCTTTGTTGAAAGTGGATTCTGAGGCGCCGCCAGAGGCTGATGCATACATCAGACTGATGACGAGACCTCACTCCCTCAGTCCTCGGAGCCCTCCGTGTCTGACAAACGACGTCCATTGTTAATTTACATCCCAAACCTTGTCTTGTGTTTTTGTTATTCTCAGTACCGTTTGGGTTWACAGCTGTATTGTGCTGTTGTAATTGTCAGGGTTCTGAGGGTTGATTGATCAAGGTGTGACTGGAATACTGGACCTCGGAGAGGCCAGTGGAATCTGGTGATTGATAGTCCAATTAAGGCGAGTTTAATAACTGGGGCATAGACAGGCTGAGTGGCCTGGCAGCCATTAATCACAGGGAGTGTGTGTGAGTGTTTACGTACGGCATGTAATGCATCTGAGGGCACCTCCGAACAACTTGAACTAGGCTAATTTATGACCACACACTTTTCAAGGCTTTTGCCAGCCCAAACTTTCAGAGCAACCCGCGTTTTACTGTCCCATCGGATCAGAGGTAGAGACAGCTCGCTCATGTTTATCGATAAATTGGACGGGTTATTGTGAAACCGTTACGTCTCGCTAACCTCGTGAGACGGACGCAGACGAAAAGCCAGACTGGTCCCCATTAGTGCGTCAGTAGCATCTAAAGCCTCAAAGGATGGCGAGAGCGTATATAACGTCTCTAACACTTGAATCGTAAAGCGTCTGTGCCTGAAGTGATCCAGGACGGACAGAGAGATGAAACCAGGGGCTCTCTGCAGGATAAAGGTCAAGTGACAAGAAATGTTTGCTATTCTGAGCTTAAATAGAGTCAATTTTAGAGTAAAGACTCAAATCTGTCTCGGAGGAGAACATTTCCCGCCTRATTGTAAATCTGGGCCACAATTAGAATAATACCAGGCTGATCTGATACGTCTCACAACTTGTTAGTTTTTCTGCAGATTTGTTGCTGAATCCTCTTCGGAGCTGAGGCTGTTACATGAATGTTAATGTGTGACGGCCAATTAAAAAGACATTTGTCACAACTTGTAGCTTCAAAATAAGAAATATAAAACATTCTATTGTTTTCTGTGTGTTCAATACAGAAAAAAAATCCTTATTTCATCGTCTCTGTTTGATTTACATTTTATTTGCTGTCCTTCGCTTACAAATGTATTTTACTTGTTTCTCATTCTGCCATGTTTGTTGTTTTATTCATTGTGTTTTGTTTACATATGATCTGCATCGTAGCTTTGTTTGTTTTTTCATTGTTTTTTCTGCAAACCCCTCCACTTATTATCATAGAAAATCAAAARGTCTACTCTCTCAACTTTAAGGTTTTATGTTTCAGAAATCCTTTGGACATAAGAGACCAAAGTAGAAATATATTTGGCCACAATGCAACAGTTTTCGATGTTTGGTGACATTTTCTGCACTTAATTTTATCAGCATGGTGGTGGAGAGCTGATGATTCAACCTCTTTTTGAATTGTGTAGTCACTGAGCTGACCATGAACTCCTTAGGCCAAACTGGGTCATGAAACAGGACAATGATCCAAGAMTATTTTAAGCCCCGGACTTGAGGAAAGATGTTTCATTTCCTCTTGCAGTTGTTTTTTTAATTTATTTATTTTATTATTATTATTTTTAATCCACATTTGACTCATTTTATCTGTGTGTCTGTGTGGGGAAAAGGTTTATCTGTCATTAAAAAAGTACCTGATRGTCATGAAAGTCCACCTGGTCGCAGTACATGTGCAGAGGGAGACGCCTCAGACAGTAAGACAGGTACTGCGGTTGGTGTTGAGCTGGTTGCACGGTTTGCGTAGCTTTTAGCTGTTTACRAACCTAAAAATTTCTGATAATCAATGCTTCTTAATAAACGAATCCAGCATTGTAAATCTAGCTAAATTCAACTAAACAAATGTCAGCTGTCATGAAAACGTGCTTCACTAACYACAGTTAATAATCAAACTAACTAGCGGTACAACAAGGAAAGCACCAAAACAACAAAAACTACAAAAATGGAGGAAAGAGAGATTCAACTGACGCCGTTTTTGTTGAAGGAAAAGATTTGGACTCAGTTTGTTTTTTACTAAATGAGCTTCACAGACTGGAGTAGATCATGAGGATCCTTTGCTCACTACTAGATTGATGCAGAAATCATTATGAATCAAAATTGATTTTAAATTGAATCATTGCTCCAAAAATCAGAATTGAATCGAGTGGTGAGATAGCTMAAGATTCCCTCTCCTAAAACTGACCCAGATCAAGACGTTGGAAACAATCTTTACACTTATCACCATTTAGAAAATGTAGAGTTATATGTATTTTATTTTTTCACCATTTTTGTTCTAGTTTATTTGTAACCAGTTCCTCTGCTCCTTTTAAAGCATTTTGGCACAGACTTAATCAATTAGCCTCCAAGCGTTTGGTATTTAATGAGCTTGTGAAGGTCTGTGGAAGGTAAAAGCTTAATGAGGTCCTGCGTTCAAATGGCTTCTTAAGAGGAAAATTGACCATCCTGCTCCATCTTATCCCCTCCTGTTGGCAGAGAGGATTAACTCGTTGGATTTCAGTTGGACCTCGGTACAAGCCTCTGTTAAAAAAACTATATTAAAGGGATCCACGATTAGTTGTAACATTAGACTTTATTTGATAAACATATATTTTAACTGTAAAATAAAGAAAATACTGTAGTTTCTATAAATTTTAAACTAAATTTTTAAAAATATATTAGACAGCTATTTTCTATACAAGCAAAGCATTCTGGGTAAATGATGTTGTCGATGAGGTCATCAGTGTGAGGCTGCTAGCGAGCTATATCCACCCTTAAGTAAACTTTATTTATATAGCACCTTTCACAGGTCAGAAACCACAAAGTGCTTTACAAGAAGACATAAAAGCACAAGAGATAAAACAAGTTAGATAAAACATAAATGCGATAAAAATATTACATGTTGGAAAAAAGAAAAAAAAATCGATTWAAAAAAATTAATTAAAAGAACAAATGAACAAATGTGTCTTAAGCTGCTTTTTGAAAGTTTCAAGAGAATAAAGGCAGCGCAAAGTTAGAGGCAGTGCATTCCACAGCCTGGAGGCCACGACCCTAAAGGCTTTATCCCCTCTAGTCTTAAAATTAGTCCGTGGAACCATTAACAAYCTTTGACTGGAAGATCTGARGCTGCGAGAAGAGGAGTAGGGCTCTARAAGTTCAGAGATATAGACTGGGGCTTGACCACAACAGGGCTCTAAAGGTAAGAACYAAAATTTTAAAATGAATTCTAAAATGTACCGGCAGCCAATGTAAAGAAATAAAAACTGGAGTCGTGTGTTGTGTTTTCTGTGTGTTGGTTAAAAGCCTTGCAGCAGCATTCTGAACTGTCTGCAAACGGTCGAGGTCCTTCTTATTCAAACACGTGAAAAGACTGTTACAATAATCCATACGAGATGAAATAAAAGCATGGACAATCATCTCCATTTCTGCTTTGACACAAGAGACTTGAGCTTAGAAATATTTCTTAAAAGTTGAAGTCTTGAAGGTTAATCCTGGATAATATCTGACTCTTTTAAATTAAACCAGAGAGCGTTGACAGAGAGGAGAAGGTAGAAATGACTCAGCCTGGAACTGAAAATATGGATGGAGGACCTCAATTTAGCTTGTTTGTCGTGCTAGTGCTGAGCTAATACATATAAGGCAGTACAGGGTCCACGCTAAAGCTAAAGCTAAAGCTAA